AAAAAAAAAAAAAAACGAAAACTTCATACACAGCACTCTGAGGATTTCAGACAAGTTTTTTTTTCAGTTTTCACTATTGAGAAGGAGAAAGTAATGTGGATTCGGTACATTGCCAAAAGCCCCTTGACATACGGAAGCATAATCGTGACCGGAAAATGTTTTAAAATAAATATGTAAAAGCAATCTTTCCTTGTTTCATATAAGGCCTTATCCCCCTGGTCTTTATAAAGAAGCCAAGGAAGAGAAGAGTTAAATCCTAGAGTTCTGATATTTATTATTAAGCATTTCAGAAGCACCAGTAATTAGAGAAAAACAGAAGGAAGGATGAAAAAGCAACACGAGTTTTGAAACTCAGTTTCATTGTTGTTTTTCTTCTTCTCTTTAAAATTAAAAAAAAAGAAAAAGTAAAACAAAAATTTTTAAGTGCAACAAAATGTACTAGAACCACATCTGGGCTTTTATTTATCAACCCACCACACACACGCATTGTTACTTTTTAAAAACATGCTATGACCAGGCATGGTGGTGCACACCTATAATCCCAGCGCTCAGGAGGCTGAGGCAGGAGAATCAAAGTAAGTTCAAGGCCAGTCTGAACTACCAAGTGAGATCTTGTCTCACAAACAAAGTGAAAACAAAACAACAACAAAAAACCAATAAACCAAACATGTAATATTGCTAGAATTGATTGGTAGCAATTTTACGAGCTTTCTTTCTTCACAGAACTGCCCACCATCAGATGCAATCAGGCTATGAGTCTAGATTTGGTGAGGTTGAGATTTGCACTGAGGAGACGATGTTTAGAGCAGTGAGAGAAATGCTCTTTTGGAGTTTCTCAGTGGAGCAGGCAGCATCTCACACTGGAGCGAGATTATAGAAATAATAACACTATAATCTCCTGGAGAGAGTTGATAGAAATGAAAAGAATTATCAGTACCAACTTTCAAATCCAAAGCACTTTCTAGGGAGAGAGAAGGGAGGCAGGAGGGCAGGAGGGAAGAGCTGTTTGTTTCTTAAATGCCGTCGCAGGATAGCAGCAGTAGATATAAGATTGGCTTGACTCCTCCAGCATTGCACTGCTTTCATTTAATTGCAAACTTTTTAAGAGGTGCGTTTGTGTAATGGAACACCCATGTGGTGGAATGAAGGTGGGGGAAATGCCGGGGAGAGCTGCCCACCCGCCCTTACTCAGAGCGCCGGGGAGTCATCACTGTGGCTTGGAAGCTCCAAGCACCGCTGCTGGCGTCCGACCCCCGCTCCACTCCTCCATCCAAGGAGCAGGATCTCCAGGTGTCTCCTTCTTAGAAACACAAAACCCCAAAGCCAAGCAAACTGGAGCGACATAGACTCTTTAGATCTTGCTTTTGTTCATTTGAACACCTGCAGTTCTTACTGGCTTTGTTTTAATTCTGGGTGGATTTAATGTTCCTGGTGCTGGCGGTGACATTTTATGCTTTTAAATTTTAATTTAGTTAGCCCCCTTGCGCTGTTGTGAGGGCCTCTTCTGCCATCCCAAGATTAAAGAAGGTCCTCGATCATAAGCAAATGTACTTTTACCCGAAGTGCACTCACACAAAGCCGTCTACAAAACCGCAGATGTTTGTGGAAACACTTGGAGCCAAGGGGCTGTCGCAGTGGGAAGTCCCGACTGTACCAACAGAGGGCGCTTCGCCTAGCCTAGAACAGCAGAGAGGCCGCCAGATCGCAGCAAGAGCCGGGGACTTGCTCCGTTCTCCACACACGCCACAAAAGGGCAGTTTCTCTGGAAGCACTGAAAGGCGCCGTTAGGCTTTCAGCTCAGCCTCATTTGTTCATTCACGTGCGCACGTTCTGGTCTGTTTATTTATTAAACTCAGTGATTTCCCCACGAATGACTAATTCCCATGGAAGCAGAGGGTAAAGAAAACATAACTGAATGACAGCAGCGTTGCTTCTGGACCAGGCACTGGGCTGCTAAGTAACTCTAGGGTTCTTATTTCATTCACACAGCGACCTGAAAAGTACACATTAGCTCTTTTCATCCCCGTGCTACAATGGGGATAGCTCAGAAGGGTTAAAAACTTGCTGAGTTCGCATAACAAGGAAGGGGCCAAACTGAAGTCTGAGTCCCAGTTTGGCAGTGGAGACCTGGCCGTGACCCCGCGTCCTCCTGCCCCACAGGTCTGGCTCTGTGTTTTTGCTCCGTCAGGCCTGAGGTGTGAATCCTTGCGGAAGGGCCTCGCAGTCTTTGCGCTTCGGTCTGCATCTATACAAACGGGCACTAAAGGAAGATTTATAGAAATGTCTTTGGTCCTGGTTTCACTTCGCTTACTCTGAGCCCTTTTCGGGGTCTGCAGCGCCCCAGAGTGTCGTACCGTTATGTTTCTCCTCTGCCCCCGCAGATCTGGCACCATTCCTTCTACAACGAACTCCGTGTGGCCCCGGAGGAGCATCCCACCCTGCTCACGGAAGCGCCACTGAATCCCAAGGCCAACCGGGAGAAAATGACCCAGGCAAGTGCTCATCCTGGCGGCCAGCTCTTTCGCATGTGGAGAAAAGCTGGTTTGAGGGGAGCTATGCAGGAGAACAGAGAGAAGGCCCAGCCCCAGTCAGCCGACATACTGACCGGGTTCCAGAAACCCAGGGGTTCTGACGACAGGGACAGACATTCCTCTCTAAAAACAATGGGAAGGTTAAAAGATTTCACTGAGAAGGAAACATGTTTAGGCTAAAAACTTCTAAGAGGTCATTTTAAAACGCCACCCAGTATACGGTAGAAGACTGGATCTAGAGTAGCGCATCTAGGTTTGAAAGCTGAATCTCACTTACCAGCCTTGTAAAGAGCCCACTTAATTTCTCAGAGCCTCGGTTTCTTTCACTCTAAGTTGGGAATGATAGCACTGTTATTTTTCAAAGACTGTGTAAATACTAATGATATAAAATGATAAGTGTGGAGCATAGTATCTGATTTCGTAAACATACAACAAACAATATTTTTATTGACATTATTTTTACCTGCTTGAAGCTCAAGACCTTACAGCAAGAAACCATCCCGTCCACCAGCCACACGAATTTCTAGTATAGATGAGTTATGTAATCATGACATCAGATGTCATTTCCACACTAGCACTGGGCTAAGATTTTTACATGCAGTCTCTTTAAATCCTCACAACGTAAAACAAGAAACGTCATTATCCTGATCATTTAAACGAGGAAATGAAAGCTTAGATATGTTAAGTGATTTTTTTTCCCAAGGTCACAGAGCCAAAAGTGGCAGAGCCTAGAGCTGACCCCTGATCTTTGGCGCTGGGAAGTCGTATATGTAAATTCTGTAGGGCCTTTTCCTTAGAAGGGCTTTCGGTACTCACACCAACACACGGCTCCTCTCTGCAGGAGCACCTCGGTGGGTCTGGGAAACACTCCTCCCGGCAAGAGGTGTTTCTCCGACCACCGTTATTCCCGTGAGCAGTGTGAAGGCAGAGAGGTGGTGGAGAATCTTGGCTCATTACAAATGTCAGATGGGGCGGGGTTTACAGACAGAATTGAAGGTCCGCAGACAACTTTGAATGCACAGCCTGGAGGGGCTCTGGGTCTACTCTTGCCTCTGAACTTCAGGAGCTGGGACGCTGGGATTCAGAGGTCTTCTGTTACCAGAATTCCATTTCTGTCCACCAGGAATCGGGATCTTCCCACTGCAGCCAGGGCAGCTCTATTCCAGGCCTAGCACTGACCCAAAAATTGCATAGATGCTTAGAAGAGATTAAATGGAGCCTCCCACAGACCACAGTATTGGGGCCAATCCCAACTGGCTGGGGCATCAGGTTTAAAGGGTCCCTTTCCTTATGCCAGCAAAATCAAAACTAGGATGTTGTTTTGTTTTGTTTTGTTTTGTTTTGGGCTTTGATTGTCTGCTCTGGACAAGCCTGAGAGTTCCTCTACTCCAAATCCTCTCTCCGTTTACCATTGAGAGACTTGGAATGGTGCCCACGTCAGTCATATATTAGCTGGATGAGTCCTCTCAGGTCACACTGAAGTCGGGAGCAGGAACAGAATGAAAAGCCAGACTCCTCTTTCCCCTGGCTAAATCTTGTGCAGACACTGCCTCCTCTTCTCCCCACCCCGTCAGGTCACCGATGTGATGGTCTTCCTTTCGTTCCCACTTCCATGTTTCCTCTTTGAGTGACCAAAGCTGCCTTGGCCTCCCTTACCTTGGTCTCCTCTGCTCGGGCCAGGCTGGCTCATTTGTGTCATGTGAGGTGTGTTCTCTTGATCTTGCACGAGACTGGCAGTGTCACTGATGTAACTCTTCCGATTGCTTTGCAGATTATGTTCGAGACCTTCAATGTCCCAGCCATGTACGTAGCCATTCAGGCGGTGCTGTCCCTCTATGCCTCTGGACGCACGACTGGTAAGTGGCTAACAGGAAAGAGGAGCCTCCGTCAAGGGATGTGCCAGGAGGAATAGGATTTGATGGTCATAAACATGCGGGTTGCAACAAGGGGTGCAAGCCCTAAAGGGTCTTCCTACCTTTTCAGGGGAGGGCTTGGGCTGCATATCACTTGCAGGATTTTCCCATGGATTTCCTCTTGTTTTTTTTAATCTTCCCTAAGCCCTTTTCAGCATTCCACTGCTCTGAAACACTCTCTTCCTTTCAAACAGAGAGCTTAGAAATTCCCCCTGCACTAAGACTTCCTTTTACCAGACTAGCTAATGACCACACACCGTCTGCCGTGTTGACGTTTATCATGCCCAACTGTCCCTCAGGCATTGTGCTGGACTCTGGCGATGGCGTCACCCATAACGTGCCCATCTATGAGGGCTACGCCCTGCCCCATGCCATCATGCGTCTGGACCTGGCTGGCCGAGATCTCACCGACTACCTCATGAAGATCCTGACCGAGCGAGGCTATTCCTTCGTGACCACTGGTGAGGCCTGTGGAGATAGAGGGCGGAGGGCGGCGTGCTGCCCACACTGACTTGCAGGGACACGGGGTATCTGAGTGCCCTCAGACTTGCCAAGGCGAGGCCTGACTTTATACATGGAGCAAACCACCACTTTCATGATCTGGTGCAAGCCTGTAATCCTAGCATTCTGGGAAGCTGAGGCAGGAGAATCACAAGTTTGAGTCCAACCTGGACAAATTAAGGCAACTTAGTGACTTAGAGAGATCATGTTTTCAAAAAATTCGAGGGAGCACTTGAGGATGTAGTTTAATGTGAAGGTACTGGCAGTTCCTAATACCAAAAAAAAAAAAAAAAGAAACCTGTTAAATGACATTCCTTCTTTGAAGACTACTGTAGTGAACTGGTCGGATGCATTGCTTGAACATTTTTAAATCCCCTCCACTACCAAGTAGAAAAGAGCATGCAAAGACTGAAGATAGAACGGTGTGGAGGTTGTAAACCTTTAGGGCCATCTAAACAGGATTTAAATCCCAGCTTTGAGTAGCTGTGTGACATTGGACAAGTTAACCTATCTTTTTATCTGAAAATAGAGGTAATAATAGATTCCATAGCCTATAATCATTATGAGTATGAAACAAGATAATGCACAAAATAAATATCTAATAATTTTTAGCTATTTGTACAGACCCAGCAGGCAATACTATGTGTGTCTTCAATCAAAGCTGGTGCCACTCACTCTCTGTCCACCAGAGGGCACTATCAAGCATTGTTGGGAACACTAGGGAATCCTCAGTGCCTGTGGCTCCCCATGGCTGCACTGGTTTGCTGTTGTCCAGATACTTTAGGACTCTGGACATGTCTGGGGCTCCTTCTGAGCTCCCAGTCTGTGTCCTGACTGACAATGTTAAAGTTCCTTTTGTGGCATGGAACTGAATTAATTCTGTTCCTGCTCCTCACCCCCACCCATCCCAAAATGCCTTCAGAAGGTTCCAAGGGCTCGGGTGTAACCGACAGCTTGTAACTTCAGATTCAGGAGTCTAGACGGCACTCGCCAGTCCGTGTCTTCCGCACTGCCTTCCATGTGCACTTCTGCAGCCCTCCGCACTGAGGCTGGTCCTGAGCCAGGGCCAGCTTCTCTCTGGAAAAGAATAGCTATGCCAAGGGTTTGGGCTGCAATCTGTCCGGGCCAGGGGGCAAGGGTCTCTGGGGCTTTTTGGAAGCTGGGGGCCCCTGATTCAGCACAAGGCTTAAGGCAGCTCTGTAGTGTGTGAGAGCGTCTCACGTCTCCCTCTGCCCGACAGCCGAGCGAGAGATCGTGCGGGACATCAAGGAGAAGCTGTGCTACGTGGCTCTCGACTTTGAGAACGAGATGGCCACGGCGGCGTCCTCCTCCTCCCTTGAGAAGAGCTACGAGCTGCCCGATGGCCAGGTGATCACCATCGGCAACGAGCGCTTCCGCTGCCCGGAGACCCTCTTCCAGCCCTCCTTCATTGGTAGGCCACAGCACCCCCTTCCTGTGAAGTGTGGGGGTCCCCGATTTCCCATGTCCAGTCAGCCCTCCCGCAAGGGGAGGCCTGACAGGAGCCCCAAGACTACAAGCACTTCTAACCCCGGGGAAAGGGCAAAGGTGTCCCATTTGCAGGATGAGACCTATAGAGGCCAGGAACAGTTTTCTTCCTCAGAAAACACTGTGCTGTAGTCATGTCCACCGCATTCTGAGCATGTCGTGACAAAATTAAGAATCGTGCCTAAGACATTCACTGAAGCGGTGCTGAGTGCTGAGAGCTGGGACTGGAGTGAGAACAGAAAAATGAAGAGTACCAAGTGTGGGACTGCCCCCTGGTGGTGCTGACTTTGGCGGACAGAGCTGCACAGTTGTTTACTGAAGCGGGCTTGGGCAGGGGATATAGCTCAGAGGCACAAGCGCCTGCCTAGCAAGCACAAGGTCATGAGTTCGACTCCCAGCACCCTCCCCCTCCAAAAACAAAAGCAAAAAACTAACAGAAGCGAGCTCTGGGAGAGATGACCCTGTGTTTGACACTTTGTTGTTCTTTCACGATCTTAGGTCACTTACTGCCTTAAGCCCCAGGCTGCTCATGTATAGAATGAAGCCTGTAATAGATCCTGCATAGCAGGATAGTGTGAGAATTGCATGAGATGTATGTAGAGCCCTCAGTCTAGAAAAGCAAGCGTTCAATAACTGGATATTGTTAGGAATTCATCAGCACTGCAGAAGATGAAGGGCCATCTGGAGGGTTTTTCCAAAAGATCCATATTAGAAATTAACAAAAAGTTCAGATGAAAAATAAAATGAGGGCTGGGGATTTAGCTCAGCGGCAAAAGCGCCTGCCTGGCAAGCACAAGGTCATGAGTTCGGTTCCCGGTACCGGAGAAAAAGCCAAAAAAAAAAAAAAAAAAACCCCCAAAAAAAAAAAGAAAAAGAAAATGATCACAATTTTTAAAAAAATTAATCTTTGTTCAAATAAGATGAAACGCTTTTCTGATGACTCAGCACCATTCAGCTTTTGGGAGGGAGTGCGTGCGGAGGGAGGGGGAGGCAGCGGCCACAGAGAAAGGGGAGTTCTGAGCAATGGCTGTGGCCTCAGCTCAATGTGGGAGCTTGTGCATGGAATCTGAAGATTTTGCCCCTCTTTGAGCCACCGTAGCAGAGTCTATTAACCGCGCTGCTGGCACGTTGCGGCTCAGCGCTCCCACTGCTGGGGTCTTCCCTCTAGCGTTGAACCTGGTTTCACCTGCCTCTCAAGGACCATGCCTGTGTCTCTTCTCCAGGGATGGAATCTGCTGGCATCCACGAAACCACCTACAACAGCATCATGAAATGTGACATCGACATCAGGAAGGACCTCTATGCTAACAACGTCCTCTCAGGGGGCACCACCATGTACCCGGGCATTGCCGACAGGATGCAGAAGGAGATCACAGCCCTGGCCCCCAGCACCATGAAGATCAAGGTACCGCTGCTCAGTGACAGCCCCCATGGCCATATTGCCCCTGGAGTCAGCCCTGTCATTAGATGTGAAGGACATTCTGAGGCCATACCTTGGTCACATGCATTGACTGATTCTAGGGCTAGCCAGTTGGGAAAAACCCACACATCTCGTACCGTATATAATTCAACCCAATTCATAAGACAAATTGCATTATTTTATGCAAAGTTTGCTTTATTCTTACAACTCTTGCCTCCGAGTTACTCTCAGCAGCTGCAGTCCAGGGCAGCACCACCTCCCTTGGCCCATGTAACTTTAGAACATACATTTATAGCAAATGTCACGTGTAGAATATTCCTTAAAAATGCAGCTGAGCCAGACATTTCTGAAGCAGTTTCCACCCTGTAGATTTAGTGGCTTGGGTTTTTTCCCCGTTAAAGGTGACCACACCTCAGGTCCAGGAATCAGAGTTCTCTCTTCATCTTCCCATCTGGCAGCATCAGTGTGTAAAAGCACAGAACAGCTCCAGCATGATCGGGCTCAGTCCCGGAGTCACCCAGGCCCTGTAAGGGGCCCATTCTGAGTTCCAGGCAAGGGAACTCTGAGATAAACAGCGTGCCTTCCTTGGAAGGAAGCGTCCCTGTGGTGGGTGGGTTCTCAAAGACCCTTATCACTAAATCAGAAGGCCACCGGAGACCCTCTGTCCCATGTCACAGGAAGCAGGAGAAAGAGCAAATCTAGCGCAGTTGATGCAGGAGAAGCAGACAGACAAGTTCTCTGTTCTCTGCATTCCCTGTTCCTTTATACAAAGAATGTGCAGGTCACAGGAGGGACCGAGAGAGGCTATTGCTTGCTAGGCTGCAGCACACGCTCTCTTTCTTCCATAAGCTCTGGGAAGTCCTGCCCTAACAGACTTGAAGAGAGAGGCTGTTTTACTTTGTTTTGTTTTGTTTTGTTTTGCTTTGCTTTGTTTTGTTTTGTTTGGTACCAGGAATTGAACTCAGGACCTTGCACTTGCCAGGCAGGCACTTGTGCCACTGAGCTATATCCCCAGCCCCGAGACTGTTTCCAGAAGGGCTTGGGTTCCTAGGATGCTGTCTGACCCGCTCATATCCCCTTGCATATTGGAGGGAGGGGGGAAGCCAGAGACAGGGCTCATTGTACAGGCAACTTCACAGAGGACATGGGGCAGAGGGGCTGCGCTAAGGTGGGCAAGTGCTAGTTCTCCACACTTGACTCCTGAATGGAAATGAATGTAAAACCTCAGGTTGCAGGATAGTAAGAGAGGTTAGAGAACTTTTAAAAGCCTGTTACTGTAAGATGACACATAGGGGAAAATGAAACCGAGAGAGGGGGCTATGGGAAATTCCTGTACCATCTGCAACTTTCCTAGAAATTTAAAATTATCTGCCTTCCCTGAAATACTTATTTCTAAAACAAAACAAATAAAAGCAAAACACCTTGCAGAGTCCAGGCTAGAATATTGGGGCTGAGACACAAGCACTTGTGACCAGTGATTTACACTTCTCTCAGCTTCTGTCTCCTCATATGTAACACGAGAGCAAATTACTGATCACTCTTCATGGTACTTATGAGAATTAGATGAGATAATACATGAAGAATGCTTAGCAGACTGCCTGGCACATATGAAGAGGTCAGCAAATGCCAGCTGCTTGTATTTAAAAAGAAACGCTCAACCAGAGCTTGAGGGTAAACAGAAAGTTATCCCTTTCGCCACTTTCAGAAACAACTCCTCTGTGAGTCAGATGTCCATGTCTGCCCAAGAATCCAAGTTTGGCATGGAATGTGGCATTTCTCACCTGCAGCTATTTTTTGAGTTTGGCAGGTGGACCAGGCTTCTGGCCAGAGGCCCAGAGTGTGTGTACTGCAGTCTAGAGAGGTCTCTAAGCCTTAGTCATTTACTTAAGAAACACGTACATGCCCTTGCACACTAGTCCTGTGCGCTGGGTGAGGCCAAGCCTAATGGGGATCCTCCCAGGGGAATGTCCTTCCCAACAGGGACCCAGAGTCGCGCAGTGGTAGGCTGCGCAGGACTTGAGCGGGATTTCAAAGTGGCAGCCAACTTTACTTAGGCGGAAGGACACCTGTATACTAAGGTCTGGCACCATAACCATTTCTTTGAAGATGCTGGTGCTTGTTTCTAGAGGAAGCATGTGTCATGCTAAGCCCTGGGGGGACCATGCCAAGTCTCCTTGTGTGGAGGCCGCCAGAGGATCGGGGCTCACTTTACTCAGTGATGCGGTAGAGGGGTTATGGGTGGTATGGAATAGATCACATGAAAGACAACCAAGCTCACCAAGCACAGGCCGTGGCAGAGCACCCAGGCACTACCCAGCAACACTGATGCCGTTTCTTTCTCCTCTGACCTCCAGATCATCGCCCCTCCAGAGCGCAAGTATTCTGTCTGGATTGGCGGCTCCATCCTGGCCTCTCTGTCCACCTTCCAGCAGATGTGGATCAGCAAACAGGAGTACGATGAGGCCGGCCCCTCCATTGTCCACCGCAAATGCTTCTAAGACACCCCCTTTGCTGTGTGTGTCTCCAGCACACAACTGTGAATGTTTTGTGGAATAACGCCTTCAATTTCTTTCCAAATCATTCCTAACCAAAGCTCTGATTCGTTACCTATGTTTTTTTTTAAAAAAGATAAATAAATCTGAAACATTCTATCCCTAATTCCTAGCATTGGCTTCTGATCAACACCCTGCTGATCACTTATTCTAGGTTGACCCTGCCGGTGCCAGGTTGGCTCCCTCTAGTGGGCAGTGAGGACATGACACAATCAGGGTGCATATGTTCCCAGGCAAGGCATGGAGTCACATGAAGGGGGAAAGCGCCACTTATATGTGGCAGATGGGGAGAACTTGGCAATCCACAGGGGATTTAAAAATATAGATGGGACTGGAGGCATAGTTCAGAGGTAGAGCACTTGCTTAGTATTCGGAGGTCCAGGGTTAGATCCCAAGCACTGAGAAAGAAGGCAGGAAAGAAGGAGAGAGGGACGGAAGGAAAAAGAACAGTTCAGAGTTTCATTGGGAAAACTGAGAAAGTCTACACTGACTGCCACTTCCTGAGTGATTTCTTTATTTCACACACTCCTAATCCCAGTACTGGTAGCATGATTGGTGAAAACAAAAGTAAGAGTTTTATACGTGTATATAAAGTTTTATAAACAACTATGTATTTATTAAAATCGTATCTTTCATATTAAACACATATATGCATGTGCCTTTAATATATTTACTATATATTAAAAATATGTATGTAAAGAAGCTATTATTTTTAAGGTTACTGATTTTTCTGACCATTGATTTTTTTTACTACTGAGAAACACTGCTTCAAAATCTCACTGCCTACATGGAGCACAGGTTTCCCTTTTTCTGATCGATACCTGTCTCTAAAAAGGATCCTGTGGGCATACTCACGCCACAAGGCATGGCAAAGATCACAGGACCAGTGCAAAAGGTTTTTGCACAGATCAGCTCTTACTTGTTCTTCAGGACTGTGTGAGGAAAGGATTATTATTAGCCCGTTTTGTAGACAAACAGACCAAGCTTGTGCCAGAAATGTGATAATATAGGAGAGCTACCGACTTCAACTGTTCTTTCATCCCTCTGATCAGGGAGGTACAAAGAAGTCAAAAAAAATTCCCTCCCTGCCCTTATGGGCCTTAGCCTCTGCGCGCTTTTCCAACCCAGCTATTTAGCTTCCTCAGCAGTTCCAGCTGGGAGCTGCTCGTCTTTTACCAATAGCCAAGGGAGTCAGCAGGGAGCAAGGACAGCTCTGTTCATGGTGCTACCTCACTGCAGAGACCCTGGGGCCCAGGGTTTACTGTTTAGTCCAGAACACCCGAGATCCAGAACATGCAGAACAGCCAGTCTTCTCCTGCCTGTCAGAATGAACACTAGAATCCCCAGTCTTCTCAGCTCCTTAGGATGACGTCTGCACCCGGCAAGAGCAGCTATGTCCTGGGTGTCTGCCAGCACCACGCGCTTTGTAGTAGGATCTACACAGCCCCATGGAGTCAGCATTGTAACTGTTTTTTTAGAAAGGAGCAACTTGGGCTTTGAGTGGTTAGAAATCGTACCCCGCCCCTCTGCTTGGGCAGAGGTAATAACAGTTCATCTCTACCTGAGCTTGGTTCAAGCTCGCACTCCCCAGTGTGAGGCCCACATTTCTCAAAGGCCCATGCAAGTCGACCTCATCTGAACTCATGGGAAATGTGCAGACGCTTGGTCACACCCAGGGCCTGCTGAACTAGAACTTATGGAGATGAAGCCAGGAACTGAATTTTAATCAGATTTTCTTGTGGACTCTTATGCACACTCAAATTTGAGAACCATCTCAACACGGTCAAAGGGAATTTTCCAGTGCCTGTAGAGAGAGGCATTCAATACCCTCTAGATTTAAATTGAAGGATTCATACTCAGCTACTCGTGACCATATAATTTACACACGTTTTTACAGTTTAAGTCACCAGCCTCTGCTCTCCTTGCTGCAGGGATTACCTGACATAGAACAGTTTGTTGTGCTGTAAACGCCATCGTTATCACCGGATTGTGCACATTCGCTGGTAAAGAAATGGGTGCTTGGAATAGTCTCCCACAGCACTGGAAACACTCATGCCCAGGCGCAAACATCAGGAAAACCAGAATCATCCCCTGAATGAGCACTGGTGAAAGGTATACTGCTTGTGAGACCACTTCCTGCAGAGCCTACGCATCTGGCCGTCAGCCACGGAATGCGAGCTCCTCCCCTGTTCCCGTGACACCCAGGGACTTGAGTGACTGGGCTTCCCGCAGGTGTCAGGGTGCCCTTAAAGAGCTTCTTGGAGGACACTAGAAAAAATAAAGGCAGTAATGCATAGGGTGGGCTCCCTTCTTAATCCTATTCTCCCCCCAGTAACAGCAAAAAGACTATGAGGGTGGAAGCACCTTCCTCCTATGATCGTGAATCTTCCTACGACAGTTTTCTGCAGCGCCGAAGAAGGCTTAAACAAGAGCAATACATTTCCTCATAGTTCTAGGAGTCAGATGTCCAAGTCTGACTCATGGGCAGGGCTGGTTTCCGCTGAGGCCTCTCCTTAGCTTGAAGACGGCCGTTTTATTCCTGCGTCTTCACCTGCACTTCCCTCCGTGTGAGTGAGTTCTAATCTCTTCTCACAAGGAAACCAACCACACTGACTTAGGGTCCCTCCAGTGGCCTCACTTAAATGTGGCGCCACCTGCAGATACAGTCACAGTCTAAGGCAGGATGGGTTAAAGACCTCAACGTTACATTTTTGGTGACAGGCTCTGTGTACAATAAACAGACTAGCACTAGAATCCAAAGAAATTCAAGCTAAATTGGTTCAGAAACACAAATCTGAAAATCTGTGGAAAACTGTGGTAAATCTGAGTTTTTGCCTTGGGAGGTAAGAAAGTGGCACCTGGGACCCTGGAATGATTCCCATTTAAAAGAGGAGCAGGCACTGCTGCTGGAAAGGGGTGCTTTTGAAGGAAGTTCGTTCAAAGAATACAGGTGGCCAGCGACCAGCCACGTGGACCAGCCACGTGGACCAGCCATATGGCCCAGCCACGTGGGCACATGTAGCTCCACCCCCTTCCTGGCCAATGTCAATGGCATTTCCATACCCCTCTGGGATCTTCTTGCACACACAGAGCTTTGGGGACTCATTCTGCCAGAAAAGTTCAGGTCACTGGTTTGTAGCCCTGAGGAATCCAGCTCCACGGCAAGTTCCTCTGGACAGTCTGGTAAATTGGGTTTGCACTTGGCAATAAGAAAGCCACAGCCCCTTTCCAAAAAATGCCGCAAGCCTCACCTGCTTCCTAAAGCTGGGGCTCTTCTTGCAAGGAAATATAAGTGTCAAGAATGCCTCCTTTGGCTAGGGGATACAATATAATTTTTTAATTAAAAAATGGGTTCTCTCCTAATTTTTTATTCAGAGGAGCCCAGTAGGATTTTGTATTCACAAGTTCTCTATTTTCTTTGGAAATCTGAGAAGCTAAATAAATATTCTTGGCTTTCAACTGAGTCCTTTCTATCTCTAGCCATCACTCAATGCCCGTAGTTTCTCATCAGACATCATTTTATATTCTCTTGTCTATTACTATACCACTGAATTCCTTTTTTTTTTGTCTTTTTGAGACAGGGTCTCACTACGCAGTTCAGGCTGGCCTTGAACTCACTTTATAGCCCAGGCTGGTCTTGAACTCTTAAGGATCCTTCTGCCTCAGCCTCCTGAGCACTGGGATGACAGGCATGGGTCACCATGCCCGGCTATATCACTGAATTCTATACAGAAGCTACCACTCACCTCTCATCTATCCTTTGTCCCAGCAGTTATTTTTCCTAGAATAAATTTCTTAATCTGTTTTGCTCAAGTATGCAAGAGCATCAGTGTCCTGACATTCAGTTTACAAGTTGAGGACAGCACACTCAAGGAGCAGTGGAGGAGTCTTGCATTTAATTTTCCCTTAGCCAGTGAGGGCCATATGCCAGGCCCTGTGCATAGGACAAACTAAACTTTTCTCAAGTCTGAGACCTAAACTTTCCAAAGCTATAAGTTCATGAAACAAGAATAAGTCACTGACCTGCCTATAGTAGTTTCTTCGTTAATGAAGATGAGCTGAATTTAGGTGGCATGCTACAAGTACTGAAGAATAGATAGGTGGGAGGATGTTAACTCATCCAAGCACAGAGCACAGGAAAAATACCCATTCTTGGAATACAGAAATCATTGAACCAAAAAGTGAGTGCTAAGTCAGGTGTGGCGCACACCTGTAATCCCAGCTAGTCCAGCCTGGGCAACTAATAACGTAGACAGATCCTGTCTCACAATCAAAACAAAACAAAACAAAAAATAATGAAGAATGTAGCTTAGTGGTACAGCCCTTGTCTAGCATATACGAGGCTCTGGAACCACCAGTATGCAGGAAAAACAAGAAAACAGGAAGAGGGGGGAGGGGAGCAGAGGGGAGAGGAGAAATAGAAGGAAAGAAAGAAAAAACCAGACACCAGTACTGCCCGTGAAGACCTAAGTTATTCAGGCAGTTCAGATAAATGACAGAAAGAAAGCAAAGCCTGGAAGGTGTAGCTGGCCTCCCAGACATGGGGAAGAGAGAGGTTGACAAAGTCAGCTTGACCCTGTCAGGAAAAGCACCGAAGATGCAGAGATTGTCAGAGAAGAAAACAACAGCTGGAAAGAAAAGAGAAGGAAGCTAGACTAGAGCTAGCAGGACCCTGACGGATGAGAAAGGAATCACAGAAACGGTCAGAGGTTTATTGAGAAAGGACAAGCAGCCAGCTCAGGATTTCCCAAGGTGCCTGACAGCAACGTCTGCCAAGAGTCAGGTTTTACCTGAAGAACCAGCTTTCGTGTTCTGAAAAATATTCCATATTCTCAAAGCATCAGCGGTGTCACTTTTATTCCCCTCTAGTTTGCAGCTACATTTTTCTCCAGAATGTTTCCATCCTCAGGTTTTTCCTACCAACTCAGTTTGCTAAGAGAGTACATGAATCTTCCATTCCTTCTGTGCAATCTATAGTCTTTGGCACACACAAGACCTTGTATCGTCTAGGTAATGGTCACAAACTCCACTCCAAGCCTTAGTAATACCATAACATGGCGTTTATGTCAGTGTATCCAGTTTCAAACTTATTCTATTCCCATTCTCTCTGTGGTAGCATATGTATATGTATAATATTATAAATATATATATTTATATTAATATGTATTTAATTGTAAGTGTTATTTCTGAATTTTTTTTTAGTTAAGAATTATCTATAAAGAGCCCTTCCCAGTCTTCATCACAGCCAGCAAGTTTATATTTGTAATCCCATGGAAAAGTTATTGGAAATCTAGAGTAAAGACGCTAAGGCATATTTGTAGTTGTGGGGAGCCCAGGGGATCCCAAGCCCAGCTATGATGATGTCTAACCAGAACCAAGGCCTTGACCCAGGGCTAAACCTGGGAGTTATCAATTCATGAAGAAGGGCGTGGCTCGAGGATGAGCGACTGTGAGAGTGGCGGAAGCACTGAGAGCCGTTACTTTCTACAGCTCTTCTCTGTGCCCACCCCTACGGCCCTCCACAGTTAGAGCGCTGTACTCTTATCCAAGCTGCTTTTTGCTCCCCTCTCAAACTGCTCTGCTTTCAGATTTCTAAACTAAGCTAACAAATCCTGTGCTGTCTGTTGCCCTCTGCCACCTGACCCCTGAGTTGAAGCCCGTCGTCCTGGGCTCTTGCAGTGACTCCCAGCAGATGTGGCTTTCTGAGCCCTGGGTCTGGTGACACTCAGGACACAAGATGAGCTCGGCCAACGGCAGCCAGGCTCCTTCTCCCACGTGGAAACCCTGTCCTCCTCTACCATGGGGAAGTGCGTTTCCCAAGAGACCACCTGCCCCCAAACTGTGTTTGGAATCACATTTTACATAAATGTCTTTAAAAGCAGGAGAAATCTAAAGATCTGAAAACAACACACACTCTGGTCTGCAGCACAGTTTATTATCTGGTGATAGTACTTGGATACATCGATAGGCCTTGACTTAACACCAGGTGGCCTCTCTTGAGACAAAGCAACTGAAAAAGAAAACTTCAAAATATGCAAAAGCAATAAATATCAAACTTTCTGATCTAAAATGTATAAATATAAAACATCAGTCATTTCTGGAAACATCTTAAGGGTATCCGGCAACCACATGTCCATAGGCAGGAGTCTGGTGTTGACAGAGCTTGTACTCCCAGGGTATCACCTCAGGTCCAGCACAGTTATCTTCATGTCTTTCACCAACGCATGTTTGCATATCTAGGAAAGAAAAAACGTCAGTTTTACATGGTAATGTTAAACATGTGATTCTCTTTAAGGAGGGAGTCTGGGTTCCCTAACTTAGGAAATTTTCTAGTTTAAACAATATTCCCAATCAGAACAAATACACTCTTGTTTATTCATTTTCAAAAACAAAACATTATTTGCAGAAGTTGTCAAGTGATTTCCATTTCAAATAAATTCTAACTTCAACAAAATGTTTCAGCCCAAAGAACCCTTAAGCAAATAATTAGAGGGGAAAAAGATGTAGTCAGATAGTGCTTCTTTTGTGCTGTACAAAGCCAATCAAAAAGTATGGTTACAGACTAGGCATGGGGGCACATGCGTGTCATCCTAGCATTCTGGGAGGCTGAGGCAAGAGGATCACAAGCTGAAGCCTAGCTTGAGCAACTTACTGATTTAGCAAGACTGTCTCAAGATACAAAGAAAAATATAAAAAGCCCTGGGTATGTAGCTCAGTTTGAAGACCCTGGGTTCAATCTCAATATCACAAAAATAAAAAAATAAAAATGAGAGAGAGAGATGTAGAGAAAGGAAAAGAGAGAGAGAGAGACAGAGAGAGAGAGAGAGAGAAAAGAGAGGAGAGAGAGAATGATTACAGTTTCGATTGAATCATTATGAAAAAATTCAGCCAAATCAAGCAGAAAGAATGGATGAGACTTTTCACACAATGTTCTCTAACAACTGTCTGCCTAGCTGGGCTCTCAGAAAAACACTGCTTAAGCATCACACAAATACACAAGTGGGTAGGTAACTTTATGAATAATCAGCTGTACCACAGAAATCCTGACATTTCCTTGCCAATAAAATAATAGAGAAGTCAGAGAGTACTTCTAAAGATTGGAAGTGCAAAATAATAGACCAAACTAAGCAGTTCAGTCTTTTATCCCACATTAGGCTGCTGCCAGTTTTCTCTTTTAAAGAACAGCTGAGTGGAGGGAGGGGAGAAATGAATATCTGCAAAACGAGCCGACAGTCCACTCACACTGAACAGGCAGGGCTCCTTGGTGTGCGGGTGGAAGCCCTTCTTTTTGCAGGCAGACACCTCGAGCATGCCGGCGTTAGTGAGCCTGAAGATGCCTGTGCTGCAGTTTAGGGCAAAGAAAGGCACAGAAGTACCGATTACTTGGGATTTCCAGATGCGTTACCCGAACAACACACGCACAGCATAAGTTATTCTGCCAATGGGGCCCAGGAAGGAAACAAAAGCTAGGAATTCCATGGTGATTTTTTAAAACTAAGCTTTCCTTGAATGGTCCAGAAGGGTGAACCTCAGGAAGAGGGACCTGCGGGACCATAACGGAGACAGGAAGCTGGGCCGCTGTGCAAGGCCACAGAAGACAGCTTGACATCCTCCACCACGACTGGTGAAATTACGAGACAAATACTTTAAATTTTTCTAATCATGGCAATGCTGCTCATAGCAATAGGAAATATTTATTGAGAACTTGCTACGGGGGCAGGCACTTTGCTAAGCATGTTACATAAACTATCCCCGAATTTCACCTTCACATCGACCCAGGCTGAGTAGGAACAAGGGCTGCAGAAAGGCTCACAGTAGTCAGGTATCCTATGACCTGAGGATGCAGCCAGGACTCCAAAATAAGTTTAACTGACTCCTATGGGCACCATTAATCTACAGTAGACACTGTCTCCCAAAATGAGGGTAGTTCTGGAGTAATTGAGGGAAGGCTGGGAAATTTCTTACAATAAAACATATGTTAGAAATAGAACCTCAAAAATCAAGCTGGGCATAGTGGCACACACTGTAATCCCAGCACTTTGGGAGGCTGAGGCAGGATGATCGCAAGTTTGAGTCCTGCCTTAACAACTTAGACAACTTGGTGAGACCCTGTCTGAAAATTTAAAAAGTGGGGATGGGGAGAGCTTAAAAAGGGTTGGGGCTTCAGCTCAGTACAAAGGCTTTGGGTTCAATTGCCAGCTAAACAGGGATAATAACATGCCTCTTAAATGTCATCCACTTTAAGGCCACACTAGAAAGTCTACCACTGACAGGACCTCACGCAGCACATCTTCAGAGCTACAGGTGCATGGACGCCGGCACTGCCGTCTCGTCTTCCGAAGGCCATCCTGTGGCTACCTTCCCAAGGGCGCGCTGTGTGCACAGACACGGACCCAGCCCCAGAAAGGCCTTCCCTGGCTCCCTCCCAGCTCACGCTTACTCTTTATGCTTTGGGGAGCAGACAATGGCGATGGCCTCAGGCAACATAAGCTGGTAGCAGCAGTGCGTGTGGAGGTCCACGCTGGACAGGAAAGCAGTCTGGGTGGGATGTGTCTGCAAAGAGAACAGGACGAGCTCCAGGGTAGCCAAGGCTCGGCCAAGGTCACAGGCTCTTCGAAGAGGAAATTCTGTTCACTTCTGTTTTTCTTTTTGACCCTTATTAATTAAGGATTTTTAAATAGTGTTTGGATGACATAATCCTTCCAATTATGCATTCCTAAGATTTTCTTAGAGTAAATACTCTAAATACCCAGAGTATCATGCATTTCCCTTTTATAGAAGAAAAAATAGAGCTAGAAGCTGGGTATGGTGTCTCATAGCTATAATCCTAGCACTCTGGGAAGCTGAGGCAGGAGGATCACAAGTTCAAGCCACCCTGGATACCTTATTAACTTAGCAAGACTTTGTCTCAAATATGTAAAATTACAAAAATTAATAATAAAAAGGGCCTGGGTATAGCTCAGTGTGAAGGATCTATGCTCAATCCCCAGTACTAGCAAAGAAACCAACAAAAAGCTGAAAATGATTTGCCAAAAGTTTTACATAGATTCTTATTTAATTCTATTTAAGAATTCTTATTTAAGAATTACATAGATTCTTATTTAATCATCATAACTCATGCAGATTATTTTATCATCTCAGTTTTGCATGAGACTCAGAAAGGTAAAGCAACCAGGTCCACAGCTGGAGAAGAGGTTTCTATCACTGGAGATCGTGGCCCAGAAATGCTTATATGCAAAATCACAGACATGAAAGTTTTCACTACATACACCACGTGTTACTGTGCACGTGTTACCACACGTTACTGCAGTGTATGTTACTATGCATTACTGTGATATATGTTGCCACATGTTACTGTGTATCTCCCTGTGGAGCGCGAGTCCCTATGAAAGGAGGATGAGCGTCTCCAGGTTAAGGATGTTAGGGACTCATGACGCACAGCAACTGAATCCCTACATGCTGAGAATGAAGAGGAGAACATAAATCTTGCAGGTCTCTGGCTATCTACAAACTTATGTTTATGAGAGACAGATCCGAACTTCATATTTGAATATGAAATATACATGCATATATAATGATTAAAGATTCACATTAAAACCTAATGGCTCAAAGAAAGCAATGTGACCATTTAAATCACAAAACAAAGGCGTTCGGTACATAGTGTCCAGGTCCTGGCTCGGTGATTCACTCAGAGGGCACTGCGAGGAGGACCAGACCACTTCTTGGCCAGTTCGGCATTTGTAAAGTTGATGAGATGATCATGAGACTGACATGAGGGTTAAATGGGACAATCCATGTAAAAGCCCTACACCAGAGTCTAGCATACAGAAAGGAACCAGAGTCATTTGCTCTCAGCGCTGTGTTATTCTAATGTTATCAGTAGTAACTAAAGAGCATATGCTGATAATAATAGCCTCAGGTCTATATACACTGGGCTATGTCAGACAAATGAAAGATTTTTCAAACTCTTCCTATCTGTTGGATAGAATGAAGGAATGAGGGCAGAAATCACCTGGTTGTATGCACAAAGGTGTTCTATAAGAAAAATATAACTCTTGACCTATAAAAGAACTAGATTAACAAAGGAATGTTAATTACCTGGACATTCCCCGTGTGGGGCTGGGGTTGAAACTAGAGCCTTATACAAGCTGATCCCACACTTAACTGAGTTACATTCTTTGCCCTCTTCTCACTTTAAAACCCAAATATTTAGTAGGGGTATGAATGGAGGGTCTGACAGCTTGTTATCTAACAAGGAATACTTTCTTTGGGTAAATTAGAGTTTCGATGCCTGGGTAAGGAAGTAAAATTTGTTCAGAGGAGCTACTGTGATAAAGAGGCAGCAAGCAGCTTGGGTGTCAAGTAGACGAATCACTGTATGTGCCAGTGTGTCCAGACCAAATGCACACATGAGCATCTGAGCCTTTCATGCCCTTCTGTTCTGAAGAGGGCATCTCTCCCCTGAGCTAATCTTTCCCTGACTTTAGGGAAATAAAACTGGTGATGATAATTATGCTGCTGCTGCTGCTGACAATGATACAAACAGCAAATGCCATTTATTGCAACTGAATAACTTTCTATGCACTGAACTAATCACTTTCTCACAACAAGATGCAGTCAGTGCTGTTCCTCCCCCCATCTTACAGATGAACAGACTGACGTCAACAGAAGAGTAACTCACTGAAGTTCATACAGTGAGTCAAGCCAAGAAGTCTAAATTCAAATTCAGATCTGTCCGATTCTGATTCAGCCTTTCTTTCCTATAACTAATTTAAATCTGAAAAAAGTTAGTTCTGGGATTATTGTGCTCTATAAAAAACCACCACAAAGGTCACTGGTGTTTAGAAATGTAACACATTTGTATTTGCATGTAACCACAACAATTTGATGCAATTAGCCAATTTAAAAATGAAGTTCTACGATTCTAGAACTGCGCCAAATTCTTGAATTAAACAATTTAGATTCATTGCCACATAAATTATATACAGGGAAGTTCACAGGAAAAATATTTGCTTTTAATTTGGGAATGTTTGTATGATAGGCTAGCACTGGAAAATTAATATAAGTGTGTAATTTAAAGAAGTATAATTTTTGGTTTGTTACAATTCCTTTGCTATAATTTGTTTTGCTTTAAAATATACTCTTGTTACAGAAATTATATTAAGCTAAATAATGGCTTTTAAATGAGCAATTTCTAAGTAAACAGCAAAGTATATTATTTACTGTTAAGCAGACAGATACATGGCAAGGTTTTCAATCTCATTATAAATTAATTTTTGTATGTGTGAGCCAGATTATACTTCCCAAAAGGCTTTCACACCTGGTACCTTGTTTACTGCTCACATAAATCCAGTGAGGCGAGATGCAATTCACTGACCTCCTGCATTCAAAGAGGAAACTTGGAAATGAGCTTAGGAGTCCTGACTGAGGGCATATAGTAATTTACAGGTGGAGTGGTAATAAAGTCTCCTGTAGCCTCCTAAATTAGTACTGAACACTTGTGTATGTTGCTGCCCCTACCAGTATTCTCTGTAAACTATAAAATGATCAGTTATTTTTTCATTTTTTAGGGGCTCTCAGAGGTGTCTGCAGAGGATGTGTTCTGAGAATCTTCTCGGCCAGCATTCCACGGCAGTGGGCTGCATTGCTCCTACCTGAGAGGGTTTGGATGATGATGTTCCCTCCAAAATTCATACCAAAACTTAATTTCCAATGTGACAGTATTAAGAACTGTGGCCTTGGAAAGTAATTATTAACACTGTCATGAAATAGCTTGGGCCTGAGGGAAGTTGCTCTCTGGCCTCCCATCCTCCACAATGTGAGGAGAGCATCAAAGCACCACCTAGGGAGTGCAGCGCAGCTCTCCCAGGCACCGTTGCCAGGGTCTTGATTACCCTGCCTCAAGTACTTTGTTACGGCAGCATAAATGGACTAAGACAGTACCCCAGGTCCAGATGTATGAGACTATTTTACGGATTGAACTGTGGGTAGGAAAGAATATCATTACCAATAATGAGGGTTACAATTTTTCTGAATTTTTAGCCTAGAAAAATAGGCTAAAAAATTCCCTGGGATTTTTTTCATTTAATACTCACTATCAGGGGGCTGGGGATTTAGCTCTGCGGCAAAAGCGCCTGCCTGGCAAGCGCAAGGTCGTGAGTTCGGTTCTCGGTACCGGAGAAAAACCAAAAAAAAAACAACAACAAAAAAAATACTCACTATCACATGACATCAATCATTCTGATTTCCATTTTCTGAATGATAAAGCTGATGCTCAGACTAGTTGAATGATTTGCCAGTTCTCCTACAGTGAGTTCTTAATAAGCCAAGACTTAAACAACTATTTGATTTTTAAGCCTTTTTCTGTTCTCATGATGGCCTGGTAGAGGTCAGAACCCAGCATTCTTGGCCCTATCCTTTTGCCCAACTCCATAGCTGTTACTACATTAATAAATTTACCTTTGGGCCATAGGGTTGGTGCTATGGAGTGTATGGATCCTATTTGATATATATAACAGCTATTTAAAAGAAACTTTCCCAGAAAATTTTAAAAAACCATCCAATTTAGACCCACAGCAAAAAGAAAGAGAACATCATAACCGTCTATCAAATCAGTTTTTAAAAACCTGGCTAAGCCTCACTGGTCTAAGCAAAATCATCAGAATAATCTCCCTTCCAAATGTTACGCTCTCTTTATCAACTTTAGGCGGTACCAAAAAGCTTAAGAAGCCCCTCTTCAAATTCAAACTTGACAGATGTGGCCATAGCCTAAAAATGAAGAAAATGCTTTAATATGACATCTATTACACTCAAAAAAAATTTAAGACCTGTTGAAATTAAGCTAAATTTCTTCCAGGGGAAAATAACAGACCATACAAAAATAAACTGGACTTAAAAGGTCAAACATACATGGATCCATCCCAGGGTGAGGAGGCCATGTTGGTCCTGCACACTGAATAGTTCTTCTACGTTCTCCACATCGCAGTAGTCCGGGCCCGCAGACTGCTTTGGCACAATCACGTGGGTAATGGTAAATTCATTATGTGTCTAAAAACAATTTAAAAAAATAAGAACAGGCACAAGACAGAAAAAAACATCTGAATAAGATATGTGGTGTTTTGCTACTGAAGGGTCTCCCTACCATCTGCACCACCCCCAGCTCCACAACTCAAAAACAAAAGTCCCAAACATGAAGGTAGATTCCTTGTGAAAAGTTTGAGAGTCGGTTGTTTAGAGCTTGAAACCCATTGTCACAGTAGAAAGTATATCACAGATAGAACTAGCATCCTGAGGCACAGGGGGATCCACGGAAGTTTAGTTCATAAGTAATGTCTTGATGTATTACATCCAGATCAGAAAAAGTGAGAAGAAAACCAGGACAGGTTTATTTGGAGGAAGAGATACTACCTACATAATTTGTTGTGTCATTGAGGAATATCTCTAAGAGTTGTAGAGGTTGATGGTCCATTCTGTTTTTTAAATTAATTACGTTTTATTTCTCTTAAAGGATTTATGACTTTCTTCTAATATTGGGAGGACTAACTAGACTCTCCTATAATTTTTATAATGTTTTGACTTTTACAATTACATAAAAAGAAAGTAAAAGGTAAAGGTTGAAAAGAAGAGGCTCCTGGATGCAACTAGAGACCACACTCACAAGTGAAATAAATCAGACCCACATGTGTAAAAATCATACTCTCTCCCTAGTGTAATAACCTGAAAGAGTAAATAAAACCCAAAAGTTACCATAGATATTGTGAAAGGGAAAGAAATTGCTCAAAGGGAAGGAGCAACTGGGATGAGGGAATGGAGAAAAGAAAGAAAGAAGGGAAAAAATATATATGGATATACAAGGATAGCTGGGATAGTTGTACTTCTGATGTCTACTGGTTTATTGAAAGGAACAGTTAATGCTTAAATTTTTTTTTTACCAATTTTGCATGCTTATATCTGGTAATCTGGACAACTAATTTGAAGGTAGCAATAGCAATATAACAACTGTTGTTGAATTCCTACCCTCTTGATTAGTGAAACTCTATACCATTTCTATTTTTTTAGTTATTTTTTATTCTCTTTGTGTGATCAATCTTGCATTCTTACATCGAGTAATCTGAGCAACTTCACTGAAGATAACAATATGTAATATAACAACCACTGTTCATTTCCTCTCGTCTTGTTTTGAAATTGTGTATCTTTTTGTTTTTGTGTTGTTTTATTTTTATCCCTATTGTTTTGCTTTTTTTTTTTCTTTAAAATAAGAAGAGAAAAGAAAAAA